CAGCAAGGGGTCATTACCTAGGGCCGAGGTCTCCAGGCATCTGGGGGGAATGGGAAGTCTAAAGATGGATGACTGGAGGAAGACTAAGAAGGGGCGGGTACTTGAGGAGGCCTGAGGGCTGTGTCCCTCCAAGCTGGAGAGCTGGGCTAGGGGCACTTGCAGGGACATGGATATCTCCTCAGGAAGAGACCTGAAGCCTCTGTCACAAACCCTGACAATTCACAGAGGCATAGGGTAGCAGGCTTGCAGGCTGGAAAGTCCATTCTTCTACCACCTTCTCTATTTCTTTTTTTTTTTTTAATGTTTTTTATTTATTCCTAGGAGAAAGAGAGAGAGAGACAGCGTGAGCAGGGGAGGGTCAGAGAGAGAGGGAGTCACAGACTGAAACAGGCTCCAGGCTCTGAGCTGGCAGTCAGCGCAGAGCCCGACGCAGGGCTCGAACCCCCGAACCGTGAGATCATGACCTAAGCGAAAGTCGGATGCTTAACCGACTAAGCCACCCAGGCGCCCCCCACCTTCTCTGTTTCTGCCGTAAGCCTAAGCCCTCTATGTCCTTCTTTACAGTAATTTTTTCTTTAAATGACTCCACATTTCCTTCAAGAAATTTATTTTTTAAAGGCCATTTTTAAAATCACTGCCTGCAGTAGGAACTGCCAGCGCTCTCCCTTTTCAGTCTTCCTCTCTTTCCGGGCACAGGGGAAGATGATAATCCTGGCATCTCCCTCTCCCTCCACGCATGGTTGAATGGAGCCTCATGATGGTTTCAGCCTGTGGATTCTGGAGGAAGTGGTGTGTGCTTATTTAAAAAACATAAAATGACCCTGTATATTTTGTAGTTTTGTAGATTCTTGATGTACCCATAAATCTATCAATTTTAGAAATTTCTGGAACTATCTGTAAATAACTGCAATGTTACCTCTGGGGAGGCACCTGAGACAGAAAGGGAAGAAAGGACAGTGGTTAAAGAAAAGAACTTTAAATTTACCTGCATTAAGTTTCCACAAGGAAAATATATTTAGGCATTCCTTATATAAGTAAAAACTAATTTGGGGGCACCTGGATGGCTCAGTTGGTTAAGCGTCCGACTTCGGCTCAGGTCATGATCTCATGGTCTGTGAGTTCGAGCTCCCCACCAGACTCTGTGCTGATAGCTTGGAGCCTGGAGCCTACTTCAGATTCTGTCTCCTCTCTCTCTGCCCCTCCCCCACTTGTGCTCTATCTCTGTCTCTCAAAATTAAATAAATGTAAAAAATTATTTTTTTAATTAATTTTAAGGTGCGGCATAATGTAAAGAGGAAATACAAGCAGAAAGTTACGTTGGAACTCTATCCTGAAGCATCTGAAAGGCCCGGCTAAGGTCTGTGCTTGACGCTGCAGGCAGGTAGAAGCTGAGGAAGGTGTGTGCGTAGCCACGACCCGGCTAATCCGATCGGGGGGGCGGCTGGGGTGGTGCCTTCTCACAAGGTGGGGGTGGAGGCTGGACCAGCAGACACACACACAGAGGGACCACGATGGCACCTGACCGAGTTAGCACTCTGTCCCTGGGAGCTTCTGACTCCAGCCCCTCCGACCTTTCCCAAACTCATGAACGTGCCAGGACTTTGTGCCTCAGGGCTTTCGTGTGTCCTATCCCTTTTCTTCCTGTCTTTCTCATCCTTCAGAGCTCAGCTGAGATATTAGAGCCCAGTGACGCCCTCAACGGCCACCTCTCTAAGCGGTTCCAAGGCCACTGTGCAAGTGTCTTCCGCAGAAAACTCATCACAGTTTGTGATCGCATCTTTCCTGTCTGTGATTTTTCTCCCGTGCTCAGAGTATGCAAACTTCATGCGGTCAGGGACAGAATGTGCTACATTCGCCGCTGTTTCCCTGACACAAGGTGGAGGTAGAATAGCAGTGGTAATAGTCATCAGGATATAAGAGCTACTGTGTATTGAGAGCTTACTATGCGTCAGATATGTTTTCACCTGGATGAACTCATCCGAAGGTCTCAATAATCCATTTGAGTGGGCCCAAGTATCGTCCCTATTTCACAGGTGAGAAAACTGAAGCATAAAAGAGGTGAAGAAACTTAACGAAGGTCACACAGCCGAGAGGCAGGGCTGGAATTCCATCCCTTAGTACACCACGGTATCTTATTAACTGATGAGTTAACTAACATCATGCTGGTTTGTGGTATTCCTAATATCCTCATGGGCCACATATGGAAAGTACAATTTATGGTAGAATAAATGCGAAGGATTAGCCTAATCAATAGAGTGTCTGTAGGAAGGCTGTAGCCCTTGGGAGGAGGAGGCCACTGTTGTCCCCTGAGAGGCAGTGGATCGAGCTTTGTGTGACAGGGAGGATGGCAGAGCTGTGCTCACCGAGCAGGGCATGCTGGCGGCCACCAGGCAGGGTCACCGGCTCCAGACCACATTACCTGATTCTTGGGAGAACGCTCCCTGCCAAGCCCAGGCAGGGCCAGAGCACTAAGAAGGGAGTCCTAGGAGCAGGGGAGACCTGGCCACCGAGGCTGATGCCAAGGCAGAAAGAGGAGCCCGCCTCTGGGTTAGGTGAGGAAGAACTCTCTTCTGTCCTGGCCTTGAGAGGTGGGCCCTTCCTGAAAGCCATAGCTCGCCAAGTCCTTCAAAACGATCCAACGGCAGGCAGCCGCGAATCCGTGCCAGAGGAAAACTAGGCACACTATAAGGCATGCCTAAATAGTACTATTTTTACTCCCGTTTTACAGATGAGGAAAAAGACACTTGGAAAGACTGAGTAATTTTCCCAATATCTAATGCTGCTAGATATTGCCAGCATTAGAACTTGAACTCAGGTCTGCCTCGAGGCCAAAACCTCTTTCTTTACCTAGACTCTGAACCACTTTCTAAATTGGAAATCACCATTTCTTTCTATGTGTCAGGTACTATGCCATAATCTTTACTGAGAATTATTCAATGACATAATGCTACCTCGCCCATAATAAATGGTCAGCAAATATTAGTTTTTATTATTGTACATATTATATATTTATATATTGGGATGTTTAATTTTATGTGTCCACTTGGCTAGGCCACAGGTATTTGGTCGGATACATCTGGATATTGCTATCAAGGTATTTTTAGATTAGATTAACACTTAATATTTTTTTAATGTTTATTTATTATTGACAGAGAAAAACGGAGCATGAGCATGGGAGAGGCAGACACAGAATCAGAAGCAGGCTCCAGGCTCCGAGCTGTCAGCACAGAGCCCAGTGCGGGGCTCGAATTCACCAACCGTGAGATCATGACCTGAGCTGAAGTCGGTCGCTTAACCGACTGAGCCACCCAGGCGCCCCAGGATTAGATTAACATTGAAATCGATAGACTGAGTAAAGCAGATAACTCTCCACAATGTGGGTGGGCCTCACCCAATCAGTTGAAGGTCTTAATAGAAAAAGACTGACCTTCCCCCAAGGAAGAGAGAACTCTGCCTCCGAACTGCCTTCAAACTCAAGCTGCACATTAACTCTTCATCCTGCCAGCCTGCCCTGCAGATTTGGGGCTTGGCAGCCCCCACAATTACATGAGCCAATTTCTTAAAATAACTCTCTCTCTCTTCCTCTCTCTCTGTCTCTCCCTCTCTCAAATGAGGACCACATGACACTTCCATGCAAGAATGAGTGGGCAGGCCTGTTGACAGTCAGCATCCTCTGTCTGCCATCCATGTGGCTCAGCACAGAATGGGTGATGGAGATGAAGGCGACTGAGGAAAGAGTCCCATCTGGCAGCCAGAAATCCCATGGGCTGTCCCAAGGTCACCACTCACCAGCCAGATGACCTGGGCAGACTTCTTTCAAAGATCCCAGCATTAGTTTCCCCTTACCCATATGGTAGTAATAGTTATTCTAAGGGTAACTGCAAAGCTCCACATGAAATGCCATTATGTGATACTATTCTATGAGTGGCAGTCTTTCATCCTCTGGAAGAGCAGTCCAGTTGTTAAGTAAATGTAAGCAGTTTCTGGGCTCGGCTTCAGAATAAGATCAGCCCTGGGGAGCACTCTGAAGTCGGCCCAGATGGTTGACGGCCACCAGGCGTGGGCCTCACTGCTGCCAACAGAGAGGGCACTGATCTGATCTAACAGCCCAGGGGGCAGGCAGCCAGGGAGGAAGGGGTTAAACTCATGGCCACACTCCAGGGGTGAAGCCAGTGAGGCCCTAGCCTCACCAGACTTGAAATCCAGTGTCTGCCCCTCCCCATCTCCAGGTAAGTTCAGCTACACCCTCAGAACTTCCCCTAATGATTCAGGCAGGGAGCAGGAGAGCCAAGTGACTGACAGACCCTCCTTCTAAAGCTGGGGTCCTCTGGCCACAGCGGAGGATCTGGGAGGACAGATAAAGACTGGAATGAGAAATTAATTTTAAAAACACAGAGAGCATCAACAGGATTCCAATCAGAGAATCAGGTTGCCAGCAGACCTGAAAAGCACCTGACACACGTCTCCTCGAACTCAACCTTGATCTATCATCTTTCTCGTTAGCCTCGTACTGGGGGGAAACGCGTTTTCATGTAACCAAACTAGGTCACCACCTCACTCTGTGACAATGAGCAAGGCATTTAGCACCTGAGTCTCAGTTTTCCCTTCCACAGAGAAATAAAGCGGTACAAAATCCGTTTGCAGAACTCCAGGCATCAGGCTTCCGTGCTCATGATCGTGGCCGTACTCAAGCGCCACAGAGACTGTGGTTTACCCCATGTTGCTTTCATGTATATTTATATATTTAAAAGGAAATTCTCTATCATCTTGTCAATGCCAAAATGAAGCTCTTGTGTTAAAACTTATAATACATAATTATTACGATTTTTAAAATTCTCCCCCGCCAGACCCAGACAGCAGGCCCATCATACCATGTTTAGGAATCACTGGCCTCCAGCTCTGGCATTCCACTGGTGAAAGACCTCGAACCCTTACAGCCTCGCTAATGCCCAGGGAAGCCTGCCCCGACCCCCTACCTTAGGCTGCTTCCATCTGCACATGCCCAGTGAGGCGTTTATTGAGCTTTTCCCCACTAACAGGCAGTGGTGTAGTACCCGAAGGTCTGGGACCCAGCCACGGTGCTGGATGGCTACGTACACCGGCCTGGTCACCTTCCTTCGCATTTCTTCACAGCTCCAAGATCGATTCTTTATCCACAAAACAAGGTTAAGTTTTTCTTCTCTGAATGGAATCTGGGAAAAAAATGTGAAAAATAATTTGGGTGAAAAATGCGGAAGATACTTCAGATGGTAGCCCTGAAGGGTTGAAGTCGGGGGAAGAATTTGTCAGCTGGAAGAGATGGGAGCATGTTTATATTATGCAATATCGTTCACATTATTCGATGTAATTCATGTTATTTAATATTTTTTAAAGAAGGGATTTAAAATTTTTTTATGGTTTTATTTATTTTTGAGAGAGAGAGAGGTAGTGTGAGCAGGGAGGGTCAGAGAGAGAGGGAGACAGAATCTGAAGCAGTCTCCAGGCTCTGAGCTAGCTGTCAGCACAGAGCCCGACGCAGGGCTTGAACCCATGAACTGTGAGATCATGACCTGAGCCAAAGTCGGACGCTCAACCAACTATGCCACCCAGGTGCTCCAAGAAGGGATTTAAAAAAAAATTTTTTTTAATGTTTAATCATTTTTTAAAATTAAAAAAAAATTTTTTTAATGTTTTATTTATTTCTGAGAGAGGAGAGACAGCATGAGCAGGGGAAGGTCAGAGAGAGAGAGATACAGAATCTGAAACAGGCTCCAGGCTCTGAGCTGGCAGTCAGCACAGAGCCCGATGCGGGGCTCGAACCCACGAACCGTGAGATCATGACCTGAGTCGAAGTCAGATGCTTAACCAATGGAGCCACCCAGGCACCCCAACGTTTATTCATTTTTGAGAGACAGAGAATTAGCAGGGGAGGGGCAGAGAAAGAGAAGGAGACACAGAATCCAAAACAGGCTCCAGACTCTGAGCCCAATGCGGGGCTTAAACTTATGAATTGTGAGATCAGGACCTGAGCTGAAGTTGGATACCCAACCGAACCACCCAGGGGTCCTAATGTTATTGAGTATAATTACGGTGGCCATAGCTGATATTTATTGAGTGGTTACTATTGTGTGAAGTGCTTTTGAAGCATGATTTCAATTCATCTTTATAACCACTATTATTCCCACTTTACAGATAAAGAAATTATGGTTCGATGGGATTATGTGTCTGGTCCAAGGACTCAACTAGAATGTGGCAGAGCAAGGACTGATCTGGGGTCTGTCTGACCCCAGGGCCCTGGCTTTCATCCTCAGTGGCAGGGGCTTCCCGAGTGAGGCACTGGGGTCACTACCTCTCCCAGCTCAGAGCTGACAGCCACTCCCCTCCACAGGCTCTGTGGCTCATCCGATGACCAATTAAATATGGTCCTTGACAAGACCCTGCAGCATGTGCCTTATCTCTTGCAACTGTCAACTTCCTTTTGAGTTGACCCCCCTTCCTATCTTTTCCTTTCCGATCTTTCCTGCGTGCATCACCAGATGAAAGTGCCTAAGCACGGTCTTCATCATGGAAGCCAGTGCCCCACACCCTGCCAGGGACCACCAGTGGTTCTGGGTGACCTATGGCACAAAGCAGCAGTGAATTTGGTGGCTTCTTAAGGGAGTTCCGTGGCAAGGCCTCAAGGAGAGAGCAGCCAAGAGGGTGGGCCAGCTTCATCTTTACTATACAATTGTCCCTGCATAAAGTGTCAAACTTGGGAAACTTGCTCAAACAGACGGGCCCTGGGCACAGATTCTGAAGACCCAGGCTTGCTCCCGGCCACCCCACTGAGTAGCATCTCTGGGCCCCAGTCTCCCCATTGGGACCATGGAAGTGACCAGCCTGTCTTACAGCATCGGTAGGTATCCAAGCAGAGACAGCGGACAACACTGCTGTACATAAATGAAGTATACGTGGAGCGTACATGTCTACAAACGCATGAAGAATTATGCTTAAAAGCACTGTCTCTCTCTAGCATTGGAGACAACTTTTTCCCTTCCTTCCTCCCATGAGTGCTGGCTTCCATCAATGCAGATCTCCTGTTCATACCAGTTTCATTTCATCTTCCTAGCCCCTCCAGATGTCATCTCCTCTGTCCCTGTCAATACAAATTAGTGGAGGTCTTTTCTTATCCAACAGCCTGGCTGCTGATTTGTCGTGACCTGGAGTAGCCACCTTTGTGCTTGTTTATGTGGTCTTCATCTTCATCACCTCCCTGTCTCTTCTCCAGAGATCTCTGGCCATCCTGGGATAGGCAAAAGCTGAATGGGTCAACGCCTCCATTGTTAGACCTCTCTGCTCACAAGCTGTCAGAGGAGGCAGCCACATGAGGTGGACACGGCCTTGGGGACCTCTGCCCTGCCTGGGCCAGCCTAGCCACCTGCTACAATGGCCTCATGAATGGGAAAGATGGACAAGCCAGGGACTGGAGTGACAGGGCAAGGAGATGAGGATTCTGATAGAAACATTCCTTGTCAAGAGCCCCCCACCTTTTTTTTTTTAGCCCAGAACGAGGGGGACCAGAGCATTCCTAACCCCACAAATGATTACCCTGGGCAGGACCCATGGTGGGGTAAGATCCTCAGCAATAGCAACTTCAAGGGCATCAGGTTTGTAGTTTCATTTAGGGAACACCGGACCGGGGCTCACCTGTCCCAGGTGGTCGGTGATTATAAATCTGACAATAAATAAATGCCTTAACCTGAAGGAGCTTAACTCTAGGCTTTGAAATTTAATTCCTTGTGCCTCCAGCCATAAATGACCCCTGTCTCCCCATTGCTGGAAATTAAGACTGCCAATCTTCCACAAAGCTGAATTCTAGGTATTTTAAAGTAATTAATTAATTAGTTTGTGAAGCATAAATCGATGTGATGCTCACTGAGGAAAATTAATACACATGAAAGAACTCCATTGGGATGAAAATTCCCTCCACAAAGGGTTGATTCTTTAAAGTGAGACCCCCTATTCCCGCTGGGAATATAATTTGAACCACAAAAATTCAGTTTAGCCACAACTTTTCTGGAATACACATAACAGAACGTAAACCAAGGCCAGTTGGAAGTCTCAGTGACACAAATCTTTTCTGCAGGAAGATGGCAGAGTAATGATTCCCAGACCTTAATGTGCATCCAAACCACCCAGAGAGTTCATTAACGTGCAAGTTTGGGGGACTTCCTCCAGATCTACCCACTCATTATTTCTGAGAAGGAGGCCCAAGAATCTGCATACTTAACCAGCTGCACAACGATTGGAAGTGGGCCATCGGAGCCACACAGTCGGAGGCTCTGGGCCAGGTCTTGAGGTCTCAGTCCTCCTACGTCTGAACAAAGTTTCCCAGAGCTTGCAAGTTTGGAAGTTCAGCCCCTCGCACACGCTCAGTCAGAGGCCATCAATTCAGATGCCCTTTCTCACCCAGGAGTTGGACCCCAAGCTCGTGCGACTGAGACCCCCATCGATGAGCATCCCAGATATCTAAGGTGCAAGTTCCCATAGGCAGAGGCTTGGGACTGAAATGTTCTGCAGTTATACAGATGGGGGAGCCGAGGACAAGGAGGGGGAAGGACTTGCCCGGCACCACCTGTCAGCCCAGATGGGCAGAGGCCTCATCTTCTGATCCCCCTGCCAGTGGCTGTTCAGCCTCCAGGTCTCCACCAAATGAGCTCCTTCCTCTGAAAGGGAGCTCAAGAAAGAATCAGGTGCCCTCACTATATCCTGTTTGGAGGCTCAGCCTTCTTTCTCTGCACTCATCACAGTTGGTCATTATGCACTGTTTGTCCATGTTCTTCCCAACTAGACAGTGGCCTCCATGAGGCAGGAACCTGTTTTATACACTGGAATTTCTAGCACCACCTGACACGGTGCTCAGCACACAGTAGAAAGTCAATGAATATTTATCGGATGGATAGACAGACAGAAGGTACCATGGTCTCTCCTACATACTAGAGAATAAGAAGACTGAAAAGAAGAGGGGCTCGCCCACGGCTAGGAGCTGGTCTGTGGGGCGGGGCCAGTGAAGGCAGAGAAGCCCTCTCCCTCAGGCCTCGGCGTCTGGGGCTGGACCAAACAGGCTCTGCCCTAACAGTCTCTGTATGTTTACATTGTATTTGATGAGTCGAGGGTAGGGACGGAGCAGAAAATGAGCAGACACTGCACTTCATTTTTGCAAAAGGGGCCAGGGTCCCCGAGGCCACCCAGCTTCATGGTTTCACTTCGCCCTCTAGTGGCCAGGATATGTCACCCTAGTTTGTGATGGTCTTTGAAAAACTGAGCATAAATAAACGTATTGGCCCTGGTTTGAGTATAATTAATAATTTACATATATATGAAATGTATCAAATCCACTGAGATAGTCACTGATCCATTCAACAATTCATCACCGTGCCTAATACATGGCTGAGATAGCGCTGAGTAAAAGGAGGTAGCAGTGAGCCTGTGGGATGTATCCTCTCTGCCCCTTTCTGTCTTAGAGGGGGTAGATTCCGGCATTCAGTAAGCACACAAAACTGGGCCAACGATCCCTGTGGCAAGTGTTAGGAAGAACATAAACAGAATGTGACTATAGAATGTAATAAGCGGTGGACCCTCTCCGGGAAGGCATCTCTAAAGCAATCATGCTCAAGCTGAGACTGGAAAAACGAAGAAGAGGTAGCATGGCAAACACGAGGAGTGCGTGGGAGGGAAGGAAGAGGCAAAGATTCAGGCAAGAAAGAGCTCTGTGAGCTTGAGGTAGAGAAGGCCAGGTGGCCAGGGCAGAGAAGGGCACAGGAGGAGACTGAAGAAGCAGGTCGGCATTGACTTTCCCATTAATGTGGAAACTGAGGCCCAGAGATGTGACATGAGTTGCTCACGGAAACAATGGCTTCTGAGTCGTGGTGGAAGGAAGGAGGGAGGCCAGGGTAGATGCTGAGGTTAGAATGAGCTGTGGGGTCAGCAGGGAGGGGTGGGGGGAGGGGGGGAGGCACCAAATGGCCTGCAAGAGAGGAGGGAGCACATGGCTCATCCAGCCCAGCAAGCGCTCAGGTGACAGCTGCCAGAAGGTACTCACAAGATCACCTAGGCCTCCTGCCTAGAGAGCGGGGCTCGTGTAGCAGGGAATGGTGGGGCACCGGCTCCCCCACAGCGGAAACTCCGGCCTGGAGACACTGTCACCAAGATGCTCCAGCCTTCAGTCCCACCTCAGATGTCGCCCCTTGGAAGCACTCCACGTCTCCTCAGAATGCTCCCCTCTCAGCCTCGAAGCACTTCGGTCCTAGGACCCATCTGCTACCCTGCCAGGGGCCGGGGGCTTCAGAGGCCACACGGACCACGTCTTCCAGGCCGCCCTAGCCTGGACCACACTGACTGCCTGCCCGTGACCCCTCGGCGTGCTGTGCTCTCCCTCCCTTCGGGGCCTGCCGGCAGACTCTTCTCCCTCAGACCACTCTCTCCCCTTTTCCCAGCCTGACCTGCTCCCCCAGCAGACCTGAGCACACACACATCAGGACCACAAACAGCCTATTTTCTTCCGTGTCCCCAGCAGCTAGCCCAGTGCCTGGTGCTTGGAAAGTGCCCAGAACCTTTCGTCAAATAAATAAATGAAGAAAAAGAAGTCGCTTGACCCCAAGTCACCTGCTGTTCCCTGCCCTGCACTGCCTTTCTCATTTCCGACGGCCCATCGCCATTGCTCTCTGCCCTCGTTGTGTCTAAAGGGGTCTGCTTACTGCTATAATCTGGCCTCAGAGAAGGAAGACTGCTCTATGCCAGCCCAGGCAGCAGCTCGTCAACCTTATTTATCATGGCGGCTGCTGGTGACCCCTAACCTCCCTGGACAAAGCAGAAGGAGAAGCAGTAAGAGGCATCTTCATTTCAGACTCACCAGGCACTTCCATCCACCACCACCACTGGACTCCCCGGCGGCTAGGAATGCATTTGCACGTTGGCTTTTCCTCTCTTGCCACTTCTGAGCCATAACAGACCTCTAGGCCGAAAAACCCACACAAGGTGGCCCCCCAGTGAATCAGCTTCTCCCGCAGCTCACATGCAAAAGGGATCCTGGTGGCTCGAATGTTCAGTCAGTGGCACCTGTCTATCGAAGGCCTCCTATGTGCCAGGCTGTGTCAGGTGACTTCAGTCAGTGGAAAATGGTCAGGCTTTGTCCCTGCCCTCTCCAGGGCGAACATTCTAGCCGGAAATGCAGAATTGAGCAGTTATTGCACAACTACTCGATGACAGTGGAGACGCAATCAGGGAGGACGTGTGCAAGGTGCCAAGAGAACACAGCCTGAGTGGCCTGGGCTCACCGGGGAGGTCAGGCAGCTGCCCCGAGAGCTGAAGGATGAGTAGGTTTTAATTAGACCAAAGGGGGGAATGTGGCATGTGTGTGTGCACGTACGTGAGGGTGCGTGCAAAGGCGTGTGAGCACGTATAGCCACTGGTGTAGCGTGCGTGCAGGTGTCCCATGTATGTGAGTACACACCCCACACATATTGTGTGCACCTGTGTGTGCACACACATGCCACAAAAGTTTCTGTGCCCAAGTGTGCAGGTGCGTGTGTGTGTGTCTCTTATAAAATCAGACAGTCTTTTTATTCTTTTTTTTTTTTAATGTTTTTGATGTTTATTTTGTTTTTGAGAGAGAGAGAGAGAGAGAGACAGAGCATGAATGGAGGAGGGGCAGAGAGAGAGGGAGACACAGAATCTGAAGCAGGCTCCAGGCTCTGAGCTGTCAGCACAGAGCCTGACACAGGGCTTGAACTCACGAGCTGTGAGATCATGACCTGAGCCAAAGAAGGTGCTTAACCAACTGAGCCACCCAGGCGCCCAAAAATCAGACTTTAGCCTCTGGGCCTCCTTCCCACCATAATCGGTTGACATTATGAAGCAGATTTCAGAGCTACCCTGCATGGAACAGTGGGTTCTCAAAGCATTTTTGGCTCGCAGACCATTTCAATATCAATAACAACGGCTACTCCGTGTGAATTGTGAGGCAGCCGTTGTGCCAGACACTTTACGTGTCTTCCATCACTGCAGCCACGCCGGGAGGCAGGCATGGTTACTGTCCAATTTTGCAGAAAAGGGAACAGGGGCTCAGGAAAAGCGGGGGGGGTCTTTCCCACAGTCACCCAGCAAGTTCATTTTGCAGCTGTGATTTGAGCACAGGTCTGTCGGACTTCAAAACATGTGTTCTAATCCCCTGAGCTCTCTCTCCTGTCACGAAGGCGAGGGCCACAGTGAATGGGCCACACGGTAGGTCCCTCCCCACTGTTACTTCACAACACCCTCCCAAGACTGAAGAGAAAGTCTTCAGTGAAGCCCTGTCCCAGTTCAACCACCGAGTCACGGTGTGACCTTGGTAAAGTCCCTCCTCTTTTGTGGCTCTTGAGATGTTCCTGAGCTCTGCCATTAGGCAGGGAAAGCTCGGCTCCTCGACCCACAGATTATAGGCAGGTTACATAATCACTTAAAAGCTGTTTCCTTATCGCTAAGATGGAGCTAAGAAGGGTGCTTTCCAGACAGCACTGTAGGAGGGATCCACAGCCCCATCATACAGCATTCTCACTCCACTGCCTGCCTCACGCTTGGTAAATCGCAGCCGTCACCGATGCCGAGAATCCAATGGACCTGGGTTCAAATGTCCACTCTGCCTTCTCTCTAATGGCCAAGTGACCTTGACAAAAGTTACTTTACCGTCCAACGTTCCTCACTTGTAAAATAGGACCAAAAAGAGTACCTACTGCATAGCTTTGTTTGAGGAATAAATGAGATAATGCACTTAGCACAACTGCTTGCCCTGCAAACGCTAGCTGATATTATTATTTGCAAATATTGTGCAATATTATAAAAAGGATTATCCAGAGGCGCCTGGGTGGCTCAGTCTATTGAGCGTCCGACTTCGGCTCAGGTCATGATCTCACGGTCCGTGGGTTCAAGCCCTGAGTCAGGCTTTGCGCTGACAGCTCAGAGCCTGGAGCCTGCTTCCAATTCTGTGTCTCCACCTTCCTCTCCACCCTCCACCTCAGGGTCTTCCTCTGCCCCTCCCCCACTCATGCTCTGTCTCTGTCTCTCTCTCCAAAATAAATTTAAAAACACACTTAAACAAACAAAAATAAGGATTATCCGGGGTTTAGTTTTGTTCCAGTTCAGGATTTTAGCAGAAAATGCAAGGAAGCATCTGGATTGACCAGGTTTGCTAGAAATCGGATTGTCTGTAAAAAAATTTTTGTAAAACCAGACCTGACTCATGGGTCAACGGAAAGTTAGCTTCCCTTTGGCTTCGAGGCCAAGTGGTTCAGTGCAGTTTATTCTGGTGCTAGCCCATAGTTTTGTTAGGTTCAAGGCCACGACCATGAGTAAGTAATTCACTCTTGCCAAAAACCGTAAGCATGGTCATATTCTAAATATTTACACTGCAAGAAACAAAACGTGCCCAACCGTCAGGGGCCGCAGGGGCCACTCACTCAATGGCGTTCATTCATTCATCCAGCTCATGTTGACCGTGCCCCTTGTGCCAGCCACTGGGCTCTCAGCACGCTGGGGGCTGATGGGGCGGAAACCCGTGCGCAGGCTCGGCTGACTCTGGAGAAGACTGAATCAGGGCCCTCAGGGAAGGAAGCTGCTCCTGGGCTGTGCAGAGTCCTAGAAAGAAAGCAGGCATCGGACGATGTGGCCTGTCTGAGCTGGAAAAAGTCCTTGAGGGTCATCTTGGCCGACACATACATTTGACAGGTGGGGAAGCATCAGGAAGGGAGAAAGAGGGCCATTGAGATCACAAAGCACCAACAGAACCCCACTTTCCTGACTCCTAGTTCACTGCCTCTCACCGTGAGCCCTCTCCCTTCACTCCCAGGTACCTCAAGATTTCACTTCCACCTCACACGGAATAGTGAGTTCTTGAGACACATTAGCCCACCAATCACAGAAAGAATAAAAAAGCAACCTCGCGGGGCGCCTGGGTGGCTTAGTCGGTTAAGCGTCCGACTTTCCGACTTTCGCTTAGGTCATGATCTCGCGGTTTGTGGGTTCGAGCCCCGCGTCGGGCTCTGTGCTGACTGCCAGCTCGGAGCCTGGAGCCTGTTTCAGTCTGTGACTCCCTCTCTCTCTGACCCTCCCCTGCTCACGCTGTCTCTCTCTCCTAGAAATAAATAAAACATTTAAAAAAATAAAAAATAAATAAAAAATAAAAAATAAAAAAAAAAGCAACCTCACTAAAAACAGTATCTACCATCTCCTGGGGGACCATTCTGTGCCAGGTACTTTGTGAAAGCATTTCATGTGGCTATCATTTACCACTCAAAACAACCTCACGGGATGGCCTTTATTATGGCCATTTTATGGAAGGGGACACTGAGGCCCAGAGAAGGGAAAGGATTTTCCCATGGTAACAAAGATAAAAGTTGCAAAAACGTCAGTGATTTAACTATGGCTGACTCAAAACCCAGGCCCCGGGGCCACCATGCAATGTCTCTCATCAGGGTACAGAGTGCAGGGTACCAGTCCTGCAGTACTCTCCTCCTGAGTGTGCCCAGGCTGTTTGATGTCTGCGTCTGAGAGGGAGGAAGAAAGAGGAAGAGGTGAACAGCAGAGAGCCTTGAAATCCGCTCCTGGGCTTGGGTACCCTCTAAGATCTAGGATCATGGCAAGCTCAGGGTGATGAAGATGGCGTTGAGGAGTGCTCCCTATCTGGTGAGGAGATGGCTGCGTGGACCATTCCAGAGCCTGTCCCGGGATAAGCACGCCACCAGATGCTATGAGATAGCTTGTGTCATGTGACACGGAACAAACCACTTCCTGTCTTCTACAGAGGGGACACCATACAGTGATTAAACCAATAGCCTCAGGAGCCAGACCGCCCAGGCTTAAACCCTAGCTCTGTGTGGCCCCAGGCAGTGTTAGCATTTACTGAGTGTCACCTCCCTGTTCTGTAAAACCGAGATAACACCAACTTATTTTATGGCGTCTTTATGAGGACAAAATGAGTTACTATTTGGGAAGTACTCAGAACAGTACCCAACACGGGGTAAGAATATATACATTTTTGCTAGATTTTTTTAAAAAATATTCAAACTTGAGTTAATAGTACCTGATTGTTTAAATCGAGATGCTTGCTGTAAAAATAACAGAATACCTGACAAGTGGCTTTTCCAAGAGTTTACTTCCATAATGAGAATACTTTGTAGAGCAAGAGTTCCAGGTTCAAGGTTGTCTCCGGGAACTCAGGATCTTCTCATCCCTCCTCCCAATATCCTCTGCAGGTCGCTGATGCTTCCCCTCATGCCCCAAGATGGCTGCAGCAGCTCCAAATATCACATCCTCACAAGCTCAAAACCAGAAACAGAAAGGAAAGAACACAAGAATCTGTCTGGCACATATTGCTTTCTTACGAAGAAAGAAAATATGTCCTAGAACTTCCCGGAAGACCTCCCTTATCTCTAATTAGCCAGAACAGGATCATGTGATTGCCCTAGCTGCTGCAGAAGGCTAGAAAAGTAAGATTCTGTTTTTTTCAGCCACAACCTACAATGAGGCTCCACAACAGAGGAGATGGGAGGAAGGAGAGCTGTTCCATGAGTAGTCAACCTGCCTTGCAGAATAGCCCTGAGACGGAAACCCGAGGAAAGGTGCAGGAATGCTGTGAAACATACCCATACGTCCGTAAGATTTTGTTCTTATAAGTAATAGCAGCAGTGTTAATCCCTGTGGCTTGGAGGTAGAGTCTCCGGAAAGGCAGGGTGCCTTTAATTCTAGGTAGACTTGTTCTTTCCCTATGGACGTGGCAGGCAAGGGAAAGATGAAAGGAAGCCAAGTGCCTCATGACCCTGACCACTAACACTGACATTGCATGACCTCACAATAACCCAAATCCAGGGAACAATTGGTCACCAACTTCCCCTCTCACTTTGTAGGTTATAAATAAAGCCTGAAAGGAAAAAATAATAATAAAGTTAGTTTAAGGACAGTGGTAGAATCCCTCTGAAGGAGAAGTCTTTCGTTTAGAAAACACTTTGATGGGCCATTTTGTAGTCAAAAGTCGGCCCTCTGGCCAAAGTCTGGATCAGGAATCAGCTAACTTTTTCTCCAGAGGGCCAGATAGAAAATATTTTAGACTTTGTAGACAATATAACATTTTTGCAGTTGCTGCACTCTGAGAAGTGTGAAGGCAGCCACGGACAATATGTCAACAAATAAGTATGGCTGTGTTCCAATAAAACTTTATTTATAGGAACAGGCAGAGGGCCAGATTTAACCCACAGGCCATAGTTTGCAAACCCCTGCTCTACATGGCAAGTTACATAAGACAACAACTTTGGCTAAAGGTCTCAAATTCCAACACGGAGGCGTGTACGCAGGTGTGGAAGTGAAACAGGCTGGGTGGGGTCGGTGGCAACGTGGAGAACACATGATTTATGGAAAGGGGGCAAAACCCACTGTTGTCAGATCCTCCCATTTTTCAAGAAACACAGAAACGCAGAGATTTATATCTTCTCATTTTTAAGTGTTGTCAGTCAATTTACACTCTAAATTGGAGGCAAGTCAAACCCAAGCCATCTGGGGACCAGCCGAAGTTGGGGACAACCAGGTTGTGACCTCTGGCCCAGAAGATCATCCTTCTTGAGCAATGTGCTTTGACAACCAAGGACACATGACACGTTTGAGTGACACAATCCAGGAAACTTACCACAAAGCCAGTCTGACCTATTGCGAATGGAATGCATAACGGCCACCGTCCTGCCTGGTGGCCAGGCGTATGTCATATGTCAGAGGCCTCACACAGAAAGGCAGCAATTAGGCCGTCTGTGCCATATTTCTCTTCCCACCTCACTAATGTTTTCCTTTCCGTACACGGTGGGGGCATCTTCGGCACTCTGTGACCTCAGGTGCTATGGAACATTCCTCACACAAACTGCCCTTATGTTCCTCGGAGGGGAAATGAGGTCACATGTAGGGAATGTACTTTACAAACCGTAAAACTACATACATGTCAACTTGACCAGTTTCTGGCGTCTATAGACCTGAACGCTAACTCAAAGATTCTGGTTGGGGCGCCTCGGTGGCTCAGTCAGTTGAGCGTCCGACTTCGGCTCAGGTCATGATCTCACAGTTTGTGGGTTCGCACCTCACATGGGGCTCTGTGCTGACAGCTCAGAGCCTGGAGCCTGCTTCAGATTCTGTGTCTCCCTCTCTCTCTGCCCCTCCCCTGCTCACGCTCTGTCTCTGTCTCTCAAAATACAAATAAAAATTGTTAAACGGAAAAAAAAGATTCTGGTAATAAATATATTTTTGGGGGAGAGGCCAAAACACCCCATCAGCAGGACAGACACAAAGCAAAAGGACTCAAGGAGATTGCTTGCTGGTAGGAAGGCCCTCAATCTGTGTCCGACAGGGCTCAGAGGAAGCCCAGGCACCACCTAAACGCCCCGGGCTACAGACAACTCAGCGTGTGACACCCTGTCCTTGGCCGTACAGTCCTCAGCTATTCACTGACTTCTTTGTTCTTCCCACCAGTTCCTGTAAACCCGAGGCGCCCTGAGTTCCCCTCCTGCCCAGCTCACCTCTCCATCATCCGGCCCTGCTCCTTGCCTGGAGCCTCAACTTTAAAGGACACAATGACCTGCCTTTGCTCTTCTCTCCGTAAACCACCCTATTGGCTCCTTCAGCTGTAGCTGGGGGCAGAGAGGGGAGGGCAAGACCGAGTGGGGGGGGGGAGGGAAACGCAAACGTCTTAGCTCAGACAGTGCTCAGACCCAGGACCACTGAATCGAATTCAGTTCAAATTATGTGCTGGAGCAGCAGGTTCCCAATGTTTTCCTTAACACCTGTGGTTCTTCAGAGATGCCTCAGGGACCCAAGTAGGAGAATTCATCACAGGCGACGCCACCTCAACAAAGCAGCTCTGTCTTAGCTGTTTTGTATCCTACAGTTCCTCGAAAAACCGTGATCGAAAAAATGAATCCATTGCTTAAAAAAAAGAAAAAAAGGGGGTATCACAACTCCCATGCCTGTCACAGTGCCTAAGACCCTAAAACAGATGGAAGAAATCAAGCCTCCTTCTGCACCAAAGAAGCCTAGAGGGTAGCTTAAGGTAAGCAGCATCTTCCGGCAAAGGGCAATTCAGGAAAACTTGGGCCAAAGTTTTGTTTCGAATAAAAATAGCTTCGCCGTATCTCCTATGGGAAAAAGGTATCTCTTCACACAATTCAAATTACCTACCTGGTTGATAATGAATAATAACCCTGAGGAAATGAGTATGACTTTGTAGGTAGCCACCTAAATATGAATATCTGCTGATATTCGCTGAGTGGCCGGACCGGAGTGGGGGGGGGGGGGGGGCTGTTTCTAATCGTCTGCTGCAAGTAGACTGTGAAATGTTTCTTGAGGCTTCAAGGAGAGCCGACTCACCCCTGCTGAGTGGACAGACCATCCTGGCACGCACCCACCCCCCCAACTGTGGACGGACCAGAGGGCGAATGCTCTTGCAGCGTTCCCAGCTCCTGGGATCTTCACCTCATTGATCAAGTTCAGATTTCTGTGTGGTCTGCAGATTTCTCCCAGGGGACCGGAAATCGTGGGCCTCATGGGTAAGTCAGGGGCCTTGGCTGTATGATGTGGAGCCCCAGGGAGAGGCTGGCATGAGTAAAGGGATGAGCCCAAGTCAGCAGAGCCCAAGTCCACAAGCCTTCCACACCCTGCTGCTGACTCAGCCGCCAGCTCAAGTCGACAGCTAATTTGGGAGGGGGATTTGCAGGTGGGAACACTGACCAGCTCTGAAAGAATAGAAAAAGAATTAATCATGTCATCTTTGAATCCTATAGTCTCAGGTCTTCAGGAGCTCAGAATCTGACTCAGGAGGAAACAGAGAGTCTCCGATATTGTGTAATTTTTAGGTCCGTGGGCTCTGGGAGGCAGACAGACCTGAACTCAGGACCACCCAGAGGCTTTGGCTAAAAAGACATTTCCTGGAGGGCATGGGGCCGCTCACAAGATGGAAGACAAGAGAAGGCTTAGGACAAACTCAGAGCAGACCGCAGAAGCTATCTGGCAATCTGATCTGAAAATGAGCTCCAATCAATAAGTCCTGAGGATTTCTTCTGTTCTCAGATGATGAGCTCAGCACTCTAAGTCCTGGAAGAGAGAAATTCCCATTGGACTTTCCCTTGCCTGACTAGTGTGACTTGGAGAAAGCCTCAGGTACCCTAGTGACAGGGGAAAGACACCTGATTTGCCCCCAATAAGGCCATAAACACTTGAATGTGACAGAACTCCCAGAGCGAATCCAGGGGCACTTGGCATGTGGGGAAGTTGCCTGGGATCATAAGCAATGACCATAAGCAGTGACATCTACAACCCCACACCTGCCACAGGCTGGTCAGAGAATTGACAAAGACGCTCACGTACTACCTGGCACAGAGTAAGCCTTTTATTAACCCGTAATGCCTTCCATTGTAACTCGTGCTCCTGTGTGGAGCTGGACCCCTCTGCGGTGTGCCTCATCGCTAACTGATCCCTCTTCCTCTTGAGAATCCTGGTTCTAGGTACCTTGAATGTACAGACCATTTGGCTGGGGAACTTTGGGGAGATTTTACTGACCACAAGTATAGCTCACACCATTGAGAGCCCAACAGTATCTGGGATGGGACAAACCATAACTCAAAAGAGACTCTCATGGGGACTTTATTCTCTTCATTATTCCAGAAACACCCTGTATGTTGTCCCCTCTAATATAATCAGTCTGCATAAAGTTTTTGGTACTAAAAGCCTAGCTTCATTACACCCTTAGGTCAGGAAAGAAGATACAGAAACGCTTTCAGAAGACACAGACTCAGTGACCTTATCTTCTACTATCCCACAAAGTCAGGAGTGGGCTTCTTGGACCCCCCCAACCAAACATCGAAAACCCCAATAGCATGCACACATACAGGGTGCCCACCTGCTACACTACTCCCAACGATGACTTATGAAAGGGCCGCCATAAGACTCCGGTGTCGGAAGACATGGTGGCTTCACTGGAGGCATATTCTGACTTCAAAGTCAAGTACGCAGAAAGCGCGGGGGGATGGGGGAGTGGGGGGCGGGGGGGAAAGGAGATGGAAAGTCATTCTGCCATTGCCTGGCCAGTCAAAGCCACCCTGCACTGCAGGACAACGGCTGCTGTGTAACAGGTCTAAAGCTTGCCTTTGAGCTCACTTCATTCTACTCAGGTATTTGATGGGATGACCGTGACCATAACTCAACAACACACATCTTCAGCTTGGCCACCTCTGACTTCCTCCCTCCAAGGCAACCAGCTCATCATTTTCTCATTTCACGATCTTATATTGAAGCCCACTAGGAGCCATTTACTGTGCAGGGAAATAAATCATAGTCCTGGCTACTATTTA